TCCCTCCCTCCCTTCCTCCCTCCCTCCCTCCTTGTTCCTGCAGCAGGCTGCCTACAAGGCTGAGCCGCTTCTGGAGGTCCCGGCGGCCGCTTCTGTCCCGCCACGCTGGCCGCAGGTGGTCTCTGTCGTGCAGCAGCCCCCGCTCCCCCCGCTGAACTTGCTCCCGTATGGCCGGAAGAGAGCCGGGGAGGCCGGCCCTGCCCGGCGGCCGCTTCTGTCCCGCCACGCTGGCCGCAGGTGGTCTCTGTCGTGCAGCAGCCCCCACTCCCCCCGCTGAACTTGCTCCCGTATGGCCGGAAGAGAGCCGGGGAGGCCGGCCCTGCCCTGCTGCTGCTGGAGAAGCGGCACAAGAGCCAGGCCGGAGCAGACCACGCCGGGCACCCTCTGTCCAGGTAAGCAGCTGCTCTCTTGGCTGTGGCGTTCGCGTCGCACACCCGGCTGAGGCTTGTTCCGGCAAGCCCCAGGAGGGCCTCTGTCCTGCCTTGTGAAAAGAGGGCAGGGCTGCCATGTGGCCTGGGACGGGTCAGGTGGCGTTCGAGTCGGGCCTTCCTCAGGCTAGCGTAGCACCGATCGCCATGTCCGAAGCTGCCTTCTGTGGAGTCCGGCCTGCAGCCCGTCCGGCTTGGCCTTCTCCTGCATGCCAAGGAGGGCTCTGCTGAGCTGACAGCAGGCTGCTGGACCTCAGAGGAAAGGAGGAGGTGCCACCTGGCACTGTAGGCTCCGTGAGTCCCGCTGGGAACCTTTCCCGGCCCTGCTGCTGCTGCTCAAGGTCCCAAGAACATGGAGGTCGCTGGGCTGGAGGGCTGGAGCTCCCAGGGGTCCTTGGGTCACAGTGAGGCGGCCAGCGCCAGGGTGCGCTCTTGTCAGCCCGGCCTCCTGGTGGGCTGCGCTCTTCCTGGCCCTGCTGGTCGGAGCAGCTTGCGTGGGGCTTCCATGACCCCAGCACTGAAGAAGGGTCTGTGGCTCAGCGGCGGAGCCTCTGCTTGGCGCGCAGAAGGTCCCAGGTTCAGTCCTCTGCAGCATCTCCAGTTCAAACACGGAGCAGGGGGCAGGGGATGTGGAAGGCCTCCGCCTGAGGCCCCGGAGAGCGGCTGCCAGCCAGAGTAGGCAAGATGGGTCTCAGTGGACCAAAAAGGTCTGACTCAGTATAAGGCCACTTCATGTGCTGCCAGGCCCTTCCCTGCTTGGAGACTAAGGTCAAGCCAGGACAACTGGAGGCCGTGGCTCGGGGTGGGGGGAGGCTGCGCTTGGCATGCAGAAGGTGCCGGGTTCAACCCCCTGCAGCATCTCCAGTAAAAATGTTCCGGCGCTAGATGATGTGAAGGACCCTTCTCTGCCAGTTTGGTGTCGTGGTGAAGTGTGCGGACTCTAATCTGGGAGAACCGGCCTTGATTCCCCACGCCTCCTCCCCTTTCACCTGCTGGATGACCTTGGGCAAGCCCTGACAAGAGCAGTTCTTATTGAAAAAGAGCAGTTTCTCTCAGAGCTCTCTCAGCCCCCCCCCCACCTCCCAGGGTGTCCGTTGTGGGGAGGGGAAGGAGTCTGTAAGCCGCTCTGAGACTCCTTTGAGTAGTGAAGAGCACATGGTATACATCCAATCTCTTCTTCTTCTTCTGCCTGAGACCCTGGAGAGCGGCTGGCAGTCTCAGAGTAGGCAATACTGGTCTTGATGGGCCAGAAAGGTCTACTTCAGCGCAAGGCAGCTTTGTGTGCTGGAACCAGGGTGGTGGAGGAGGACCTGAGCGTCTCCGTAGTGGGGGGGGCACACCAGCCACTTCTTGACCCCGACTTTGCTTTCTCCGTTACAGCTGGAGCACGGAAGACCAGCTGGCGCCCTGTGGAGGACGGGCCGCCTCGTGCCCTCTGCCCGCAAGTGGAGGGTGTTTCCCAGAGGACTGCCGGCAGAAGGTGGGTTGGCTTCAGGGAGCAGCCCCGCACGGTGTGAGGAGTGCCAGCCGCATGAGAGAGCTTGTCAGAGCTCAGAGGCGGGGGGTGGGGTGGGGATGGCACCTGGGGGGATCTGCAGGGCAAAGGGGGCTATTTGGTCCGTTTGGGCCTCTCCTTTCCAAGGCCCCTCCCTCTCGGGGGGGGGGGCTCCTTTTCTCTAGGAGGGAATTTGTAGGGTTAGCAGAAGTGGGATTTGGGCCAGGTGGTCAATGAAGGATTTTGACTTCTGCCTATGGCTTAAAATCGGGAGTGCGACCGGTAAACTGAAATGAACCCTCTGTGTGCCCTCAAGCTGGGATAATAAAACACCCACTGCCAGTAATCCCGCAGACTGAGGACTTGCTGTACATAACAATAAGTAATACTTTACAAATCTGACGATTCTATATTTCTCCCCTACCCCTTTTTTCCTTCTGTATCCCACCTTTTAAAGAGAAAATAATAAAAATTTACAATTAAAAAGAACACATTTGAACGTGTGGGCATATAGACAACTGGGCAGAGAGGTTTACCTGTAGACTCGCCACCATTATTGTGATTTTTTAAAAAAAAGAAAAAAAAGAATTCTTTCTATTTGGGGGTTTGATTTATGAGAAATATCCCAAAACGATACCCCATGAAAGCTTATGTGAGAATAAAAATGTGTTCATAAAGTGACGCCAAACACCTGACTGATGTGTTTCCCCCCCTCCCCTTCCAGATGGCCGCCAGTGAGTCGTTTTCGAGGCCTGGTTCCACAGGTGAGATGGAAAGTCAGGGGTGGGCACTGCTGGGTTGGGCAGGTGCCCACAGCCCGAAGTTTCTGTCCCGGGGGGTGGGGGGTGGCGGCAGCCTTTGTTTAGAGCAGTGCTGCCTCCAATCTTGGAGGGTTCAGCGAGCGGAAGCCCGAGGAGTGTGGCTGGAATATCGTGGCACTCTAGCCAGGTGAAGGGAGTGAAACGGGAAAACAGCCGGTGGAGGAGGAGGAGGTAGGCAGGCTTGGAAACCATCCCTGCTGAGCCTGCAGGCTCCCTAGACGGAGCAGCTTTTCAGCGGTGGGGAAGAGGCGCGAGGGAGCCACAACACGTGGCTCCGGAATAGTCATTCTTGTGGGCCTGTTTGCAAGGATGAAGATGTAAAATGGTAATGTCGTTGTTCTGACTGGTTGTTGAGTTTTGGGAGGTGGGTTTTTTTGTATATTTCGTATGTGTGTGTGTGTGTGGCAACCTCTGGTGACTAATCCCTACTAGGGGCCTAGAGGCAGTGTTCCCTCTAAGCTGAGTTAGTGTGAGCTAGCTCACAGTTTTTTAGCCTCCGGCTTACCCATTTTTGTCTTAGCACAGGAAGGAGGGCTTCAGAGCAAACTGATTTATGCAGAAGCCAAATGGCTCACTCACAACTTCAATGCCGGTAGCTCACAAAGTAGAATTTTTGCTCACAAGACTCCACAGCTTAGGAGCATTGCCTAGAGGACATCCGGAGAGGTGGCTGAGGAAAGCCTGCCCCCCACCTCCTGCCTCTGGTATTCCCAGGAGGTCTCCCATCCAAATACTAGCCAGGGTCGACCCTGCTTAGCTTCCGAGACCTGGTGAGATTGGGCCTGCCTGGGCTATTTGGGTCAGGGCTCTGACCCGGTTTTTAAAAGGGGCAGGCTGACCAGCACCCCCAAACCGTTGAGTGCCGCAACCCACCAAGGCAGACATTCCCGCCCCCCATCTCCCAGACGTGTCATTGGCTTACCTAAGTGTGCCGGTTCCAGAGGGCTCGGAGCACAAAGAAGAGTTCTCTTTTGGGCTTTCATCCAAGATGGCAAAGGGGATGTGCAGGCTGCCAGAGATCAGCCATCTTGTTGGGGGGGGGTTTGGGGGGGAACGAATCATGTAACATCATCTGTAGCCCACCCTCTGAGCTCAGCTCTCCCCTCCTGCCTTCTGTTCTCCATTTCCCCGTCATATTTTTTAAAATTGTTTTTATTAATTTTTTTCTCAAAAGTAATTAACAGTCAAAAACTAAGTAACAGTCAGTAGCATTAAACTTACAGACCAGCATAAACAGCATAAACAGTTTGCAAAACAATATAGTACTAGTAGTTCTACTTCGTTGTCAACAAGCTCAATTGAGTACCTATAACCCTTGTGTTTAGGTAAATATACAAATGAGCTAATGCGAAGAAGTAATAGCGTGTGTCCCATCCAATTATATCATAACAGTGTCACAACTAGGCATTGCAGTATGGTCGAAGAGGTAAAGTCTAGTAGTCTAGTAATTTTAAGTATAAAGAGTTTTGGGGTTGAGAATCCGAAGCTGAGATTATATTCCATGAATGGGGTCCATTTCTCTGTAAAATTGGATGATTTAGGACTGATGTCTGAATTAAATGGTCAGTGGTTTTTTCTAATACAAGGTGATCCCAAACTTTGTTTAGCCAGGTGGTACGTGTTGGAGCCTTGTCTGATTTCCATTTAAAGGCTATCGATGTTTTAGCAGCCACTAGGAGTCATATTTTTAATAACAAGAATTTGAGAATGGGTAGAAACAGCACTGGGGGGGAGGGGGTTAGTAAAGAGCAGGTAGTTTGCGTGTGTTGGAATGGCTGCCGGAGAGGGTCAGCTATCTCTTTGCACTCAGCAGTGGGCCTCTCTCACAAATGGGACCCCTGCCCCACTCCCAGGAAGGGAACAGTTAGCCTTAGGGGCCGCCAGCACCATCCTGCCAGTCCACTGTTCAGACAGGGTGGGGGTTTAGGGGTCATAAGCCTTTCCCAAGTTCACGTGAACGCTTGGGGCCAGGCAAGTCCTGGACTCTGTCTTCTGGAGCTGGAATTCTGAGAAGGTGCCAAGCAATGCCTCCCTCTAGGCTGCGGAGTCTCGTGAGCAAAAATTCTCCTTTGTGAGCCACTGGCATGAAAGTTGTGAGCGAGTGACTTGGCTGCTGCATCAACCCGTTTGCTCTGGAGCCCCCTCCCTCCCTGGGTTGAGACAAAAACGTGTGAGCCAGAGGCTAAAAAAACTGAGCTGGCTCACGCTGACCCAGCTTAGAGGGAACGCTGGTGCCAACAGGGAAGGGGGTTGCCCAGGTGTCCCCGGCTGATGCCTTCTTGTCCTTATATGCTGTGGCAGGTGCTCCCGTCCGAGTGGAAGAGGGGCTCCGGGGGAAACGCTGTGATCCAAACCCCAGGGGGGACAGGGAGAAGAATACTCAGCCGGTGGAGAGTGGCGAAGAGGCCTCCCCTGCAGGCGGCTCCTGGCTCATCCGCTAGTTGACCCCGGCTGCGCGCAAAGGACCTTGGAACGGAAGGCACACCTGACCGCTAGCACTCTGGAGGGGGAGGCCTGGCTGCGTGCCTTCGGGGGCCCTCAGAGCATCTACGGGGCCAGGCCAGCCTCTTTTCCTGGTGTCCTTTCGGAGAGGATATGTAGCCCCTTGTAACCTTTGCAGCTATCTGCCTTTCTTGCTGCTAAGGTGCCCCAAGAGCTTCTGGGAGGGGGTCTGGCTGTGTGTGGGCGGGTGTTGGATGACGGTTGTGGGGACACCCCACTTTAAGCACTACACTGCACACCTTGAGAGTGGAGCCTTGCAAAAAAAACCCCTCCATTTTGCTACCCCCCCCCCCCACTTTACCTGGCCTTTCAGTGGCGTTTCAGGAGATGAGGGGCAGAGTGTCCCCACTGCCTTGCCCAGTGGAGCCTCACCTTCAGCACCAGATCTCGTGGGATTCTGCTTCCAGGTCAAGTCCTAAGTGCTTGGCTGGCTTAGGAGCACCTAGCGACCCTCTCCTCATGTTTTCAGTGAGCCTGCTTGGATCTCTTTTGAGCAGGGGCCGGACTGAGGAGGGAGCTGTGTGATTGGCCAAAGTGGGATTTCAGTTGTGGGGTGTTTCTTTAAGCGGCTGCAGGGATCTGCGGCCCTTTTGCTTCTTCCCCATAGGCCCAAGCACAAGGGAACTCATTGTTTAGTTCGGATCTCCCCAGTTTGAAAAGCCCCCCCCCCTTCCCATTTGGCGGCACCTGTCGGACACGCTTGGTGTTCCCTTCCCTCGCTTGGTTTTCTGCTTCTGCTCCTGCTCAGCATCTGCATTGAAGATGATGGCAAAGGCAGGTGTGCTTTTCTCCTTCCATTGTAAATAAACTGTTTGCTTTTTGCGTTGGAGCTGAGGTCCTTGAGCCTCTGGAAAGGTTTGGACCCTCACATTTCAGCCGGCGGGCTGAGTGGCAGAGACGGCGCTCCTGCCCTTCTGTTTCTGTGCAGTTTCCCTGTGTGGTTTTATACATATGTGTTTTTATAAAAAGTGCCTTACCACTTCTCAGTATTCTTCTGCCGTCTGCTTCCTTGAGGGAGGGGGGGTTCCCAGCCTGCGTGAGTTTCGGCAGCTGGGCACATGTCCGTTCTCCTCCTTTTTGGCTCCTGATGCATCCAGCTCACGGGCATCACGCAGACCCGGTTGATGCCTCAAGGGAACTTTTACCTGGAGGGCTCTGCTATGTCCCCCTAAAGGGCACGGTGTCCTCCTGACATATGTAGCCGTCTTCTGACTAGAAGCTCAGTTGGTACAGGCATCATCATGATAACAATTGTTGGTCAGATCAGTCGAGGTCGTGTTCTGAACAGCGGAACCCCCCCCCCCCAAAGACAGGAGGCACGGTGCTGCATCGTGTGCCATCTTCAAAGCATCCCAGTAGTCCAGTCTGGATGCGGCGGTGGGGCAGCAGTCTTGTGTGTGATCTGTCAGTGGAAGCCCCCCAAGCTCTTGCCCAAGTCAAGGTTCCGTTGGTGTGCCCTCCGCCGCTTGACTGCAGCCTCAAGGTGCCAATCCAGGGCAATGTTCCCTCTAAGCTGTGGAGTCTTGTGAGCAAAAATTCTGCTTTGTGAGCCACTGGAATTAAAGTTGTGAGCGACCAATTTGGCTGCTGCATAAATCGATTTGCTTTGGAGCCATCCCTTCCTGAGCTAAGACAAAATGTGTGAGCCAGAGGCTAAAAAACTGAGCTAGCTCACATGAACTCAGCTTAGAGGGAACACTGATCCAGGGTATTCATCGCTACCTCCGGAGGCTTGGACAAGGAGATATAAAGCTGGGTGTGTGGCATTTTGACTTCCACCCAGTAGATACCTACACAGAATTTATCTCTTGGAGAGTTAAAAGCCTCATTAGGATGAACACAGCACCACATACTCCCGTTAGGCCTGCCAAGAAAACGTATCTTGCAGCACAAATATTAAGGGGATGGAAAGGTTAAAGTGCTCGGGGCTCTTTGACTTGGAGAAATGATGACTGAGGGGTGGTGACATGACGGAGGCATACAAAATTATGCATGTGATAGAGAAGGTAGAGAAGTCCTTTTCTCACAATACAAGGACACGTGAAATGAATGAGCAGTAGGCTTAGAACAGATCAAAGGATGTGCTTCTTCACCCAAAGAGCAATACATGGAATTCACTGCCTCAGGAGGTGGCGGCTACAAGCATAGACAGCTTTAAGAGGGGACTGGCTCAACATCTGGAGCAGAGGTCCATCGGCAGCCATTAGCCACATGGTATAGACGGAACACACTCTGGGGGCAGCGATGCCCTGTATTCTTGGTGCTGGGGGGGGGCAACAGTGGGAAGACTTGTGGAGTTTCTGCCCCACCAGTGGACCTCCTGATGGCGCCTGGGTTTTGGCCCATGTGACACAAGAGTGTTGGGTTAGATAGGCCATTGGCCTGAACCAACATGGCTTCTCTTGTGTTCTTACATCTGGGAACAGTGATGTTTTGTATTCTGGGTGCTTGGTGGGGGGACAAGAATGGGAGGGTTTCTGGAGGTCTGGCCCCACTGGTGGAGCCACTGAGTGTTGGACTGGATGGGCCATTGGTCTGATCCAACATGGCTTCTCTTGTGTTTTTGAAAGCAAGCAAGCACTGTATAAATAATGCAGATCATGGAGTGCACAAAGGTATGCTAAAGAAAATATAGAAATAACAAAGATAACCACATATATCAGTAAAGGAAGATTACATCATAGCATGTGCGAGTCCATAAATAAGTTCATAAGTAGTTACTTAAATCCATAAGCTGTAAGTAGATGAAGCTTATGGATTTATGCAACTACTTATGAACTTATGGATACTATTTATGGACTTGCACATGTTATGATGTAATCTTCCTTTACTGATAAATGTGGCCATTGTTATCTTTGTTATTTCTGTAACATATTTTCTTTAGCATACCTTTGTGCACTCCATGATCTGCATTATTTATACAGTGCTTGCTTGCTTTCTGAACTTTGTGTACTGTGTTATCACTAGTGTTTCTCTTGTGTTTTTACCAGTCAGCAGCCTTTTCACCAGCAGAGCACAGACAACGTCTTTGAGCTAATGGTTTTATTTAAAATAAAGCACAAGACCAAAATTCAGATCTATAATTTCTTAAACTTAAGTATACAGAGCATCTCAGGTTTTAACCTAATACAGAGTATTACAGAGCATCTCAGGTTTTAAGCTAAAAGGCAAAATGCTATGCAAAGCAGGGAGCCCGGCGTGCAAAATACACTCCCAGAACACGGGGTCTCTTTTGACCAGAAGCTACCAGTGGAACGCTGGACTAGAGGGCAAGAACTAAAATAAATTTCTCTAATATGTGCTTGTCCTTGAAATAAAACAATTTGAATAAGTTGTTATTCAAATTACTGCCAAGTAAACTAGGACAAAGCTTGAGAACTCTCCAAAACCCTCAAAGCAAGGTTATGTGGCTAAAAGTAGTGCTGTTAATAACTACAGAACAATCAACACCCTATTTCTTCAGCTACACTAACAGGCTGCTCTTGTAAGAGCCAATCTTGAGCAACAGTTGAACCTTAAATGCTTATGAGGATACACAGGTTAACATAACATGCAAGCAAGTGATTACGATCATGAATACTTGGCGGGGGCCCATCTTTTGGTGACAGCCCACTCCTCATGACCTTGGCCAAAGGTCTAACACAGTGGTCGAAGAGCACTGGGGGTGAAACGGACCCTTGGGTACCCCACATATCAGGTCCTGGCTAGTTTGCGCTGTCTCTCCTATTGTAACACTCATTTGTTGCCAACAAGTGAGAGCAATGGAGCGCCATTCCTTCCATCCCAAACAAGGATTCCAGTCAGTCCACCAAGACTGCACAGGTCAACTGTATCAAGTGCTGCCGATAGCTTTAATGGTATTACTGGTGATGGATTGGCATTCTCCAGCTGTAAGGCTGTACCTAGGGAGTGAGGGCCCCCACCCCCTGAATACTCGAGCTGCCCCTGGGAAACACGGCTTGGGGCATGGGCAATGGGGCTGCATTTGCTCTGCAGCATGACCGCTGGCTTAAAACCCTGAACTCACAGAGTTGGGAGGGGCTGCAAGAAGCGAACAGAGAACGTGGGGCTGAAAGGAGGCCGCTGTCCGAAGGCCGTACTCTGGCCTGGGTGGGCCTGCCCATTTCTTCCCAAGTTTGGCTGCGTGGTGATGGGCACGGAGACCGGTGGAAGGAGGAAAGGCCCCAAAAGCTCCACTTTACCTCCAGAGAGAAAGCAACGTGGGGTCGGGCAGCCGTTCCTTCCCCTCGGAACCTGGGTGGGCGGCAGAGGGAGCGTCTCCGGAGGCCGATGGGGCTTCCCTTCAGTCGGCTCACCGGCAGCAGAAGGGGCATTCATGCGGGAAGTGCCCTTTCCGCCGGCACAACGCAATGATTCCAGGTTTGATGGCGGGATTGCAGGTGACGCTACCCGTAGATCCACGTAACCAAAGGCACGGCTCCCTCCTCCTGGGGTGGGCTCAGTCGCCTGGGGCCGTCAGCCCACACAACACCCTCTGCCCTCCCTCCTTTCTCATGCCAGCTTCTCTGCCCTCTACAGACTCCCCCCCCAAAAAAAAAAAAACGTGGCCGAACGTGGAGCAGGAGATGCTGCCGGGGTGGGGGAGGTGAGCGAAGGTTTCTCTTGCGGTTGCCCTGCAGTGCTGGAGGGTGCTAAAAAGTGGTTCTTCTAGCCTTTCCCTCGGGTCATTCCTTGTCCCCTCAAAAGCACTGCAGGGGAGATGAGTAGTACCCAGAGGAGGCTTTTGGTCTTGCTGATGGTGGTCTCAGGATCTGTGCCCGTTTCGATGCGGAAGACGAGAGGGAAGAGTCCAAGGCAACCGAGGCTGACGCTGGGAGACGGGCGGAAATATCTGCAGGGGAGGGAGCCCGACACCCCAGTTCGTGTTTGGCAGAGGCCCTGGAGAGGGGAGTCCGCCTGCAGGGTGGGGATGAAGGGCCTGGTCCGGCTGGCACAGTTGGCAACCCGGGAGGGGCAGTGCTAGAGCTGGCTGTGGGGCACAGTCCTGGTCTTGGGCAGCCGGAAGCCACACGCAGGGGTGGTGCCGTCCAGGGGGCTGCAGAAGATGGGACTGATGTTCTGGGGAAGGCCGGGGCCTAAAGGAGGGGCATGGTGAGCAACCGGCTGGCATCTCTCAGCAGGCAGAGCAGACAGAACCTTATGGGATCGACCGTGCTGCAAGGCGGGCGCTTCTCCGCCTGGTGCACACTTTCACCTGGGCACCGCCTTCTTCATTCGTGGGGTCCTTGGGGAGGGAACGTGGGGGGGTTTCTGGAGTCAACTGGGGTGGGTGTTCCTGTTTCTCTGCCAGGGCCCTACCTGGTGTCTGCGGTTGTAGGGTGGCCGTGGGGTCTCCCCCTGGGGGGCTTGGGGCTGGCCCAGGGCAGGGGCTGAGCAGGGGAGAGCCTGGCTGATGGGTGGGGAAAGGTGGGGCAGGCACAGAGCCGGCCTCCGTGGTCATCGGAGTGTCTCGGGTGCAGCTGGTGGGGGTGTCTCTGGGGTAGTCCGGACTGGCCGAAGGGCTGTGGGGGGGCACCAGCCAGTCAGAAACGTCTAGCCCCGTCTCTCCAGGGCTGTTGTCGGTAGGTGATGGAGAGCCCAGCTGGCACGGGGAGGCGGCAGGTGCGGAGCCTGGTAAGGCCAGGGGACCGGCCAACTCCACAATGTCGCCCAGGCGGCCGCCTCCACCCGCCCCGCCTCCGCGGGGGCTCAAGATCTGATGGTCAGCAGGAGCGTTGCTGGGATTCAGCTGATGGTCCGTCCCGCCGATGGCCGCTCCGCATTCGGGGCACTGGCCCTCTTGCATGGGCCGCCCACATTCCCCAACGGTGTACAAGTGGCCCTTTCCAAAGCTCATGGCCTCCGTTATCGAGACCCGCTCGGCCTCAGAGAGCTGCACCCCGGAGGCCGGCAGCAGCGCGTCGATCTTCGCCAGAGGGGCCTGGAGGAGCTCCTCGCCGGCGTCTGTAAATGGCTTCTGCGGGCTGAGCAGCTGCAGGGCCTCCTCCACCGCGGCCGAAGCCTCTGGCGGCAGGCCGGACGGTGGATCCTGGTAGCTCCTCAGACGCACAAAGATGTTGGCCAGGTAAGAGATCCGCTTGATCTCGTTCCTGCCTTCCCGGAGCTGCTGGGCCGTGAAGGCGTCTCCTCCTTTCCGGGTGCCCAGCCACAACTCCACAGCCTTGGTGCTGCTCAGGAGGAGGCCTCTCCTCTCCTGCGAACACTTCTCTGCCTGGGCTCTCAACCGCTGGAGGCTCTGGAGGAAGCTCACCGTGTTCTCCCAGCTCCGGAGGATCTGCAAGGAGGGACTCTTCTCCACCTCCTTTCTCAAGATCTCCCAATTGAAACAGGGACCGGCCAGGGGCAGCGTGGCCAGCCTGTCGAGCAGGGCTGCCTTCCCGGTCAGGAGTTCCATCTTGCCGCCCTGGATCTTCTCCTGGATGGCGTCCATGTGCTGCTGCTGCTGCGCCTTCAGGAGGCTGTTGTACCGGGGGTTGCGCTGGATGGGCGTGGAGCACTTGGGGCACACCTGCTGCTGCACGGAGCGTGCCACCCCTGAGTCCGGGGCCCCGTCCATCCACCGATCCAGGCCCCCCACCTCAAAGACGTGGCCGCAGTCTTTTAAGAGGACGAAGCGGGCCTTCGGCTCATCCTCGTTCCCGAAGAAGATCTCCGTCAGCTCCTCCCGGTGGCACACCCGGCACTTGGGGGGGCACGGCTCCCCGCACAGGCCCACGCATGGGTGTTTGCACTTGAGGGTCTTGCGGCAGGGCTCGTTGCAGCGGGGGCGGTCGCAGATGTCGGAGCACGCCTGGGAACACTTGTGGTGCCTGCAGGCCCAGGTGCAGGGCTGCACGCAGGGGAAGCACGCCTCCCCGCATGGCTTTGTGCATCGGCTGTGGCTGCATCTCCAGAGGCACGCCTTCCCACACGGGGGGCACTGCTGGCAGCAGGAGCCGCGGCACACATGTGAGCAGAGGAGGACCCTGGTGCACTTCTTCCGGCAGGCAATGTGTAGCCGGCCCTGGGCGCATTCGAAACAGCTTCCCTGGCACCGGTGGCCACATTCCAGCGTCTGCTTGCATTTCTCATAGCACCGCAGGGTCATCTTTTGCCGGAAGCAGTCCGTTTGAGTCGTGTGCGAGCAGGGCAGAGTCACCTGCACGCTTTCCTTGCATACCTGAGCTCCGCAGTCCTGGCCGCAGGGCAGCTTGCATGGATGGCCGCATTCCCGAAGCTGTTGGCACGGCTCCTCACAAACCCAGGCTTCGGGGGGCACGTGGCAGGGGACCACTTGGCTGTGCCCACATTTTGGGATGGCTTTCTCCACTTTGATGGAGCAGGGCCCACACTCCTTGCTGCATTTCTTGGGGCACTTGTGGTTGAACTCGCACAGGATCTTGGTGCAAGGGAACTGGCAGACGTTGGTGCGATGCTCCCTGTCGCAGGGGTGACAGTGGCGCGTGCAGGGGTGGCCGCATTCCAGCCGAGTCTGGCACTCGAGCGTGCAGCCTCCGTCGGGGAGTTTGTCGAAGTCTGTTCTGCACTTCACGGTAGTCTTGGTGTCCGGGTGGTTCTGGCACAGCACTGTCAGCTCTTCCCCAAGGAGGTCCTTTGATTTGAGCAGATGCGTGAGCTCCTTCCAGAGCCCGCTGCTGGCGGACAGGCAGCCGAGATTCCCGATGCAGTAGAAGCCCCGCTTGGCCCGGGAGAGAGCCACGCACAGCCGGTTCTTGTCCTTGAGGAAGCCGATCTTCCCTTGGCTGTTGCTCCGCACCAGCGAGAGGAGCACGATCTCGTTCTCTTCTCCCTGGAAGTCATCCACTGCGTGGGCAGCCACCTCCTCCATCCCCTCCTCCTTCAGGAGGGTTCGGATTTTCACCACCTGGCCGTGGTACGGGGAGAGGAGCGTGACCTGGCTTTTGGCGTAGCCTTGCTTGAGGAGGTAGCCGGTCAGGGAGACCAGGAACGAGGCCTCGTGCTGGTTGCTGTAGCTCTCCGAGTCCGCGCTGTGGCTCTCCCCCTCGCAGTGCTGAATGAAGAAGACGCTCCTCTCGATCCCCTGTTCGGAAGGGAAAAGAAACACCGCTGGGTTTAAACGAGAGGTCTCCACCATAGAAACAAGGGCCGCGTTCTAGAGGAAGAAAGTGTGAGTCCCCGTGGCACCTGTAAGACCAACAAAGCTTTATTCTGGGGACAAGCTCTCCTGTGCAGGCTTGCTTCGAAGAAATATTCACGCACACGAAAGATTATACCCAGAACCAAACTTCGTTGGTCTTACAGGTGCTACTGGACTCACACTGTGTTCAATTGGTAATGTTAACCTCTAGATGGGGCCTTGCATTGCTAGTCACTCTTAGAGAGGAGGCTGGCTTTGGTCGGATTGCATTCACCATAAATGAGTATCTGGGCGTTTTCTGGTTTCCCTTCTTCCCTAGGAGCCTGGTGTGCAACTGGGGCCCACGGAGTATTGGGTAGGCGTTACAGACTCCTCCACCATCTTGTTCCTGCAAGAACTCTGCACACGTGCTTTGGAGAATCTGCTACAATCTAGGTAAAGTTAGACCAGCTTTATTGTTTTTATTTGCAGGTCTGTGGGCTGTGATATTGGTGCCCTTTCCCCTGTATCTTGTTTTTGTCCCTTTTCCTATCCAACCACCTTTCTCCCATCCCTTTTTGTCCATTTTGTTCTTCTGGCTTCTTTTCCCCAGGGACAAGCCCACACCTCCTGGAAGCAGGGGAAGGGGGCGGCTGCTTGCTGGGCACGGCCTTTGTTACGGTCCGGTTCATCCCTCCTCTGGCTACTTTGCCTGGCCCAGGCAAATCGGTTGGACATCCCCCCGGGGGGGCTCCCCTGTTGCCCACTCTCCTGGCCCCCTGCCAGAGCTGCCCGGGGCAGGGAGGAGCTTCAACGGCTGGCAGTTGGGGGTGCCAGTGGTGTTCCCTCTAAGCTGACCGAGTGTGAGCTAGCTCACAGATTTTTAGCCTCCGGCTCACAGATTTTTGTCTCAGCTTGGGAAGGATGGGGCTCCAGAGCAAACAGATTTACCCAGTGGCCCAGTTGCTCGCTCGCAACTTTAATGCCGGTAGCTCACAAAGTAGGATTTTTGCTCACAGGACTCTCCACAGCTTAGAGGGAGCACTGGTTGCCAGCGTCTCCCATCCCGTTCCCTGGATTCCCAGCAAGTTTGGGGTGCAGGAGCCACCCCCAGGCAGAACCCCACGTAATACCTATGTACAGGTCTGCCCCTCCTTGTGGTCTGGAGCAATGCTCCCTCTAAGCTGTAGAGTCTTGTGAGCAAAAATTCTACTTTGTGAGCTACTGGCATTAAAGTTGCGAGCGAGCGATTTGGCTGCTGCATCAATCAGTTTCCTCTGGAGCCCCATCCTTCCTGAGCTAAGACAAAAATGTGTGAGCCGGAGCCTTAAAAACTGTGAGCTAGCTCACACCAACTCAGCTCAGAGGGAACACTGGTCTGGAGGTGCCCTCGCTTCCTCTGTCCTCGTGGCTTGGCACTTCTGACACTTTGTGTGTGCGTGTGTGCGAAATGGCCTTCCTGGCGATTGCTACTTGACCTCCAACCCGTGGGGGGGGGAGAGCTGTCCCCTCAGGCCTCCCCACCTTGATCTTTTCGTAGTCCAGGACAGCTGCGTGATCCTGGAGCTCCTTGTAGAAGAGCGGCACCAGCAGCTGGGAGATCTCTGGCTGCATGCGATGCTGGGAGGGAGACAGGAGGAGAGGACGGTCACCCACGTGGCCACGGTCAAACTTTGGCGCATCCTTTGCTTCTTGGCCCCACTGCTGTCCTTCCAGAGGCTTCTCCAAGTCCTGCCCTGGAGGCAGCTAGAACAGCTTTGCGCCCTCTCGGCTGGGCTGAGGGAGAGTGACCGCTGGTGGGGCTGGAGGGTGTGACGAAACAGACCCGCTTTGACCTACAGACCCTGTTCTGCCGGCCTCCCTCCGACTCCTGGAGGCTGCTTTTCCACTTCCTGCCACTAGGGTGCGCTGCCACCACCTGCTCGATTTAGGGGTCCCGAATGAGAGGAGCAGGACTCTCAATCCCCCTCCCCAGTTCTGAGGCCCGGCCTCAAGGTCTCCTGCTACCCAGCACCTGGCTACCGCAGGTACCAAATTCCTTCTTTGGGGCTCCCCCTGGAGGATTGGCAATGGGTGCCTCGACTGCTTGCCCTTCCCCTTTCCCAGCACTCCCCTCTTACAGTTGCCTGGTCTGAGGCGGCTGGGGGAACTGTGCGGTCCAGAGAACACTCCCAGCTTCAAAGAGTGAAATATTCATGAAGAAGAGGAGAAGGTCACAAGCACACCTTCAGCACAGCACCAGATCAGCAGCCAGAAGGACAAAGAAAAGTTGGTCATAATCGCATCCTTCTTTCCCTGGTTCTAAAACTTACTCGACTAGATGCTGAAATTGAGCAGGCAATCCCAAGCTTAGTGAGCTGCAAACTGCTCTAAAGGTGTCTCGTTACCACAGGCTCCCCGCAGCCAGCGGGCCGGGCCGCATGGCCAAGATGGCTCCTCCCCTGAAGAACAGAGCTCAGCGGCCTGTCCCTCTTCCAAGGACCAGCACCCAGAGACCCTCCCTCCTGGAAGCAAGCACTTTTATTTAAACCTCTGACTCCACCCCTTTCACATCACACTCTCCACCCCCTTTGACCTGGTCCGCCCAGGTCACCCAAGTGAACCCTGGCCCACCCAGGTGCATCCTGGGAGCACTCTTTGCAGGCATTCTGGGAAATCTCCAGGAGTCCCCTGGAGATTCCTAACCCCAAATCCCTCAGTTCCTTTGCAAGCCAAGCTATTTGCATAACCATGGCTGGTAACTGACCTAGCTTCCTGCCTTTCCAGAGAAGGGAGGGGAAAAACCCAGGAACACTTGGGTAGGGGGGTTCTGCAGAGGGCAACCACCCACACTTAGAGGGGGAAACCTTTGCCTGAGAGAGAGAGAGAGAGAGCCCCCATCCCTGCCTGTGGGGCAGGCACAGTGCCCTGTTCTGCTTCTGTGCAGACGGTAGTGCGTGCGACAATACCAAGGGGATTTTCTGCTTTGGCACTTTCTGCCAGTGGGGGTGGAAGGTGGGGGGTGGAAGGTGGGGGCAACCTCTCGCAGGCAGGCCGTGGGGTTCAGCTGCTGCTAAGAACAGAGGGGCAGAACTATCCCCCGGGTCTGTGGGGTTCCTGCCCGAGTCCTCTCCTCCCCCCGGCCCCCGACACCCACCCACCCACCTGGTAGAGTAACTGCACATAGGGAAGATTATTGTTGATCATCCGCTCAAAGAGAGAGATGCCCAGGAAATACTTCTTCTCCAGGGTGTAATCTGCCGGTTTGGGTCGCAGCTGGAAAACACAAAACACGTCTCACCCCGCTGATAAGCCGTGCGTGGCGTCAGAGCCCCTGGCGTGGGCAGCGGCGTGGGCCAATGTCAGGTCCCCAGTCAAGCCACTCTCCACACACACACTTCCAGCAGCTTAATGGTAATTAGAGATAGGAAAAGCTGTGCGCTTGAAACCTTTGTCAGGAACCAGCGTTCCCTCTAAGCTGAGCTGGTGTGAACTAGCTCACAGTTCTTTAGCCTCCGGCTCACAGATTTTTGTTGGAAATGTATGTGTTTACAAGGTCTGATGATTCAGTCATTATGGGGTTAACTTGTATTCCTAGTTTGCTATTGTTTAGACTGACCTGGAAGGGATACCTGGCACTGAGCCAATGGGGGATTAGCCCGGGAAAAGTAACTTCTACTTTGATGCAGATTGGTCATTTGTTTCAGGTGACTTCCTTTCTAGGGGTCAAGAAGAAGGAGAGAATTCTCCATTACGTGTGTGCTTGTCTTGTCTGTAGGAAGCTTAGAAATGTAGCTCTTAGTATCATGTTAATTTGTAGCAATCCCGTGTACCCTTTACCCTTAGTAATAAAAGTATTTTTAAAGGCAAAGAACTCTCTTCTTTCCAATAGAGCAAGATCCATCAAATAGTCTGAGTATTAAACAATTTTTGACTATTTACAACAATTTTTGCCTTAGCTGAGGAAGGGTGGGGCTCCAGAGCAAACTACTTTATGCAGTAGCCAAACCACCTGCTCACAACTTTAATGCCAGGAGCTCACAAAGTAGGATTTTTGCTCACAGGACTTCATAGCTTAGAGGGAGCACTGAAGCCCAAAAGGAGGTGAAAAGCATCATAAAGGCAAAAAAAACAAACAAATACCAATCATACCTACGCCCCGCGTTACCTAGCAACTCAGACAGATATATGGTCGCCCTATCTAGCATAGCCTGGCATGGGATCTTAAAAGATATTACAAGCAATACTCCCCTACTGCATAAGCAACACTCACTCCCCCTCCTCATAGGAATACAGCATGACAAGCGAGGGCAAGAGAACAGCGGTAAGACATTAAGGCAAACGCGAAGAACAGTGATTCAACTAAGAAGGTTAATAGGGACACAGGTGCGCCGGAGCTTTACAGCCAAGGGGCTTCTCCCCCCCCCCCCCCCTGGCTCCCCCCCAGGCCTGCAGACTCCATCAAGCCAGCCCATGAGTCCAGGACGGCCCGGAAGTGGTTGCTTTGAAGGGGCACTGTTTTATTTATGTGTTTTTCTTGCAAGGTGCTTTGGGCCCTTCTTGGAGAAAAACCGGATAGGAGCCCTTAAGGCATCAACCAGAAATGTGTCACTTGCCTGAAGCGGAAGGCAAACAGCCCCGCAGCCACGGAGCGTGGGCAAAAGCGCTCCAAACAACCACCTGACTTCCTCCTACATGTCGGTTTGGGAGGTCCCGGCCAGCCTCAATAGGCAAGGGCCACCTTTTACAGGTGGGTATTCCAGAGGCCACGTGCCCCTGCCTGCTCGAGGAAGAATCCCAAACGGTGCCAATCTGGAGGCAGCCCGTTGCCCCGGTCACCCACACGTTCGACAGGAAACCTTAAGCGACCCAAACCAACCGGGGCCTGGAGCACATGGCCCCAAGGCCTCTCTGAGACAGCCGGGAGTCGAGCACACCCCTGCACAAAACGGCCTCATCGCAGAGCGACAGGAGCACAGCCAGAGGCTTCCCAACAAGCTTTTGGGGAGGCTGCGAAGACGGCGCTCAGCTTGCAAAACCGGCAGCCAATCCCAGCCACGAGCGAAACGCCAGCCGGGGCACGGGCTGAAGCCTCCCTGGGCCCGCACCCAACCTTCAAGTGTGGGGCTGGGCCAGTGGGAGTGGAGGGGGGGCGTTAGGGATTCTGCCTCCCCCACCCCCGCTAGACCCAGTTGGACGTTCTCGCTCTTCATTGGCAGCGAGAGCGGCTTTGCCTTCCCGGACATCGGCCCCCTTTGACCCCATCCAGCTCTTCCCGACCTTCCCCCACGGCAAGGAAAAGCCACCGTGTCCCTGGAAGCTCACCTGGGTGGGAAGCCTGGCAGCGGCTGCGCCAGCCAAGCCTCTCCCTCCACGCTCTCCAGAGGCCCCCCACCCCACGTTCCCCAGGCGCTCCGTGCAGAGTGGGCGGGGTGCCTAGCAAGCATAGGACAGGCCAGCCAGGGTGCTTCCCACAACACTGAGCAGGGTGGGACGGGCCCTTCCGCCACC